GATTTCTAGATATGTAAAATAGATTCCGACGAGAAAAACCTTCTGGTACGACAGAGTGAGCCAATTTTCCTTGTAGTAGATGCATCTATTGATTCAATGTAGTTATTTCAATTCAAGTCAACCATTTTCTTTATGACTTCAGCGAACTTTTTGTTTATGTTGATGCGATTACACGAAGGAAGGGAGTACGCTGAGAATTTAAAATTTATATATTTTAATTAAAATAACTTTTGCATATATAATATAGCCGATTCTTTTTCATTTTGTTTATATTTTTATAAATTTTGTTATTAAATATCCCACACTGTCATGATAAAAGATCTGCCAAGAATAGCGAAAGGTTGTAAGAAACCGAACTCAAATTTACTGTGGATTATCTAGCAATTAAATCATTTTCTAAACATTTTCGTCTTAGTAAATTGTTTTTTCTTTCGATTAGAGTAGCAATTTTAAATTAAAACTCTATTCAGTCTCGTTACGGGGAACATTTATTGCGTTTAATTTATTGTTTTGTAAAATATCCATTTTATGTTCTAATAATCATTTTATTTCTTAAAGTTTCTCTAATGTATACCTTCTGTCAATTAATACAGGTGATAGATTAAATTCTTCCCTCAATTTTTAGCTTATTAGTTTGATTTGTATTACGAATTTTATCATTTCAGACGTAGTTTCACAAGTTTTATGTTGAGTTTAGATAATTTTTTTAAATTGTTATGATAATGAGTAGAAGAATATAGTTTTTGATTTGTTGGACTTGTCAAGAAGTACCGCTTTTCTATTTTGAGATATTTTATGAGCTTATTGTTTCGTATTGAACATGAAATAATTAGAATATTCAATAGGAGTAGATAGGCCCACCTTTCATCCGGCTCATAATTCTCCGAGGTCTTTTGAACAAAAGTAGAGGTTTATACCTCGTGCCCTGCTTAAGATTGAGTTACCGGTTCTTTCTAGTGTCTTATAATTCTCTTTCACTCCCAGCAAACCGTTGCGTCTTAGGGAGATTATCACCCTGTTTGTAGTGAATTGATTACACAGAGAGACATATATATACATACATACATACATATATATATATATATATATATATATATATATATATATATATGATAAATGCATCATTGTGTCGTCGTTTAAGTAAGGTTATATACAGCCTTTTAAGCACATCTTTATGCTTTAGACTCTCGAAAGTTCATAACGACTCACTTTCGTATCAAAATGTAAGCAATATTATATATATATATATATATATATATATATATATATATATATATATATATACGAGGGTTAATAGATCTTCCGTTTAAAATTTAGACACCTCTACCTTTCCTGACTTGACATCTATGAAAGTAACTCTATACTGATACTTATTATTAACACCCAACACTCGCCTACCCAATTTAAACAATTCGCCCTAGCTGTTACCATGGAAATTTTGATTTCAATTTTTAAAACACGTAAATTTCAGAAACACGTTATTCAAAAAAATTTCGCTTGAAGATGGAACAGAGCTTATTTTAACTCAATTTAATTTAAATAATTATATTGAAGTTTTCTGCTCTTATTTTTGAAATATATATATATATATATATATATATATATATATATATGATATATATATAGATAGATAGATAGATAGATAGATAGATGAATAGATAGAAAAACAGAAAAAAGAGAGAAAAAGAGAAAGATAGGACAAGGCGCATGAAAGAACTAATACACACACACACACACACACACACACACATATATATATATATATATATATATATATATATATATATATATATATATATATATATAAGGACAGACTTAGATATGAGCAGATTGAAAAAAAAACTAAAGCATTCATAGATACGGAGCGTGAGAGAGACGCAGACAGTAATAAGTAAAACAGTTATGTGCCATGCGTGAAGCAGGCTTAGGCCATACTTGTATCTTTCTATATATGACTGATGAGACAGAATTATCCCCCGCAGTAGATAAATAAATAAATACATACATAAGTAAATATTTGAGGTAAATAGATAGATAGATAAATAGCAGACTGAAATAGACAAAAACAGCTTGCTAGTTAGCTAGATAGAAAATAATTATTATATAGATAAGAGCAAATAATATATATATATTTATTGAAGACATTTTTATGTTTAACGTTGTTATATATAGATACAAGTATTTAAGCAAATGCTCTGTTTATAATAAACAGTATTAAATAACATTTACCGGCCTGAATGTCCGAGAAATTTTTCATAGAAAATATTCGTTCTTTGACAGGATTCGAACCTGCATCCTATACGGAACCGTCATATACGCTGACGTGCCTTAACCGTCTCGGCCACAAAGAACCTTACGGTAGACAAGGTCGAATTTACTGTTTATAAACTTCAATCTTCCATGAATCTCGTACATTCATAACTGCTCTGGCGTATCGAATGTAAACAAATGACGTCATATGTTAAAGAAATGGACAAGGTCCGACAATTTATTTATTAAAGACATTTTTATGTTTAACTTAATGTTGTTATTTATAGATACAAGTATTTAAGCAACGGTTCTGTTTAGGATAAACAGGTTAAATAACATTTACCGGCCTGAATGAACGAATATTTTCATGAAAATATTCGTTCTTTGACATTCGAACCTGCATCCTATACGGAATTTAATACTGCCTTATCATAAACAGAGACAGTTAAATACTTGTATCTATAAATAACAACGTTAAACATAAAAATGTCTTTAATAAATAAATTGTCGGACCTTGTCCATTTCAAATATATATATATATATATATATATATATATATATATGGAGAGAGAAATAAATAAGAACTGAAACAGATAGATAGATAGATAGATAGATATTCGTATAAACTTGTTTTGAATTCAAGATGGTCGAGAAATTCAAGCATCTTGTAAGTAAGAACACTGCACAGGTAGCAAGCTACTGGAGGTGGCATCTTTGATGCAGAGACTGCTAGTGAGTTTCATTGCTTTAAAGATTTGGAATCAGAACTAAAGACCCATCCTTCATATGGTCAGTCCAGTACTTGCAAAATCCATACTCATTAATTTCTATAGATATCAGTTCTTCTCTGCGTGTTATTCGCTTTCCATTTGCCGATGCTGATTGGGTTGCGGACAGAGCGCCCGACCGCCCGGTCGCCCGGCCAACGATCCAACATTGACTTGATTACAAGAGTCAGTGCTGTCTGAGAACATCCCGTTTCTACAGTCCTGTTCAGTTGTGCACAAACCTAATTGCCATTAGTTTTAAAAGGAGAAAACCAGTTTTATTACACTTGGAAAAACAACCGTGCCAATGCATTGGCCAGGAACAATTTAATGAGCGATCGGAGTAGGAGTCGCGGGGGGGGGGAATTATGCTGGGTCGATAAAGTTAAACTGATTGCCAAAGCATCGACAATGATCTGCCAGCCCCAAGACAGTCATTTTCCATAACAATTCGAATTCATGGCTTTCCTCGACTGGTATTTTTAACAAAACTCGCCTGGCTTCATTAGGCCAAACGGAATTTGCGCTCTTTAAACACGACGCAACAGACCAAGTTTTCCATTGCAGTTCTCCTGATTCAGGCCTTTGATTCGATGTTCAACAAGGCCCGCGGGCCACTCGTCGAAAAATCTTTTGTGCAAAAAGAAAAAAAAAAAAAAAGGATTGAATAAAATAAGGCGGGTATTTTGATGATACAGATTTCTGTCCCTTTGCCACATAGTGGGTAACAAATGTAGTTATTTTTTATATCTCGGTCTCGCCTAAATTGATTGTTTTGAATGATTGTTTTTTTTTACGGCTTATCAACCTTTTGAAGGTTATTTAAACCCAGAAAATATTTTTAGGTTGTAAGAAGTTTTGGGAGATATCTATTCGCAAATGTAAAACATTAGACAAAAATAAACAAACATAAATTTGTCATAAATTACCCGCATACAGGTTTGCAATGTTTTATCCACACTATATTATAATCAAAGCTGTGTATTTATTTATATATTTCGTGCTCCGCTCTATGTTGAGTCGATATTACAAAATTAAGCAACACTATATTATAATTACCGTTGTGTATTTATTTATATATTTCGTGTCGCACTTTATGTAATTAGATAGGATAATATTATTAATCTTTATAATTACTTTATAATATAAAAAGGAATTTCTTTTAATAAATTAAAATTTAGATTGATAGATAGATAAATAAGTAAATAATTGAGGTAGATAGTGCTGTTGAGTAGTTTTGACAGTGGAGGCTTGTATTTCAATAAGTCGTCCTAAATTAGGTTCGACGTACAAAACGTTAGGAACTTGAAATAAGAGTTAATGACGCAGCAATCTAGTTGTGATGGTTGATACTTCAATGTCCGACATCGACTGACTCGTTCAACACCACTGAGCCCAACTGGCAACCGCTACTACTACTACTACTACTTATTATGTGTGGGACAGTCTATTAATAATAAAATAGGTACGTCAGGTATAACAGATAGATAGATAGATAAATAGATAGATAGATAGATAGATAGATAGATAGATAGATAAATAGCAGACTGAAATAGATAGATAAGAGCAAATATATATATATATATATATATATATATATATATATGGTTAGAGAGAAATACATAAGAACTGAAACAGATAGATAGATAGATAGATAGATAGATAGATAGATAGATAGATATTCGTATAAACTTGTTTTGAATTCAAGATGGTCGAGAAATTCAAGCATCTTGTAAGTAAGAACACTGCACAGGTAACAAGCTACTGGAGGTAAAATGAAATGATCTAGCAATGATAGTCTTAAAATTTTTATGCCTGGAAAAATTTACTGGTACACGTCCTGCTTGTTAACCCATCGATATGTAGATTCATACCTCTCCCAAATATATTTGCTCGTAAGTGAACATAATGAAACCTACTGGAATTGGAACTCGACTTCAATTTCGAGCCGTTATCTATTACACCACCCGTATATCCAATCCAACGACACTTAATATTCCCAATCAGTCACCCATCTAAGTACTAACCAGGATCGACGTTGCTTAACTTCGGCGATCGTACGAGAACTGGTGTTTCAACGCGATATGGCCTTCTAACATAGAAGCTGATGACGGCGATATTGTTAAAGAAAGAACTATATTTTTTTTTACGGATTTATCGATTTACCTCAAAATATTAAATATTTTCCTGCCCTTTGACTATACGAATTCAGATGGAAAAAGATAGACCCTGATCATTTAAGCATTTCCTACCCAAACTAATCTACTAATAGAAAAAAGCGTTTTGATTTTTCTCTCAAGGATGATGATGAGGGTGGGATGCTAATGACATAGGTATTCAAAGTTTGGGATAAGATTGATCTTAAACAAAAAATCAACATTCTCTACAACGATTTCTTTTTGTTTATGTTTTATCACATTTGTTATTAGGTATACCACATTATGATAATACATCTACCAAGAAAGGTGAAATGTTAACTTGGGCGCAAATTTACTGTGGATGATCTAGCTATTAAAGCACATTCTACACGCTTACACTCTAATTAAATTGGCATAAGTAAACCCTAGCTATGTTAATTAGTATAATTTGTATCAAAATTGGTTTTGCCAAGATTTTCTAAGAAAAGAAACAATTCTGAAATGATTTCATTCGCCTGTGAATAAGTTCTGAAAGTTTCATTAAAATCCGACAATTATTTGATTATTGCAAGAATTTCGAAATCAATGTGTTTTTCATCACAAAAAAAGTTAAAGTGTATTATACTGATCTATGGTTGGCCCACTGACGCGATAAAAAAGACGTTTACCCCAAAAAACGTTATAAAAAGGATTTAAAATATAATTTAATGATAAAAGATCCTCTGGTCTTGTCTCTTAATAATACAGATTTTGATGACAAAACTTTGTTTTTATTAAGTTTGTAGCCTTTTTCATCATTGAATGCTCATTTTGTTAGCGAATCTATCTATCTATCTATCTATCTATCTATCTATCTATCTATCTATCTCTATATATGTGTGTGTGTGTGTGTGTGTGTGTAAGCGATTAATAAGAACATCATTTTACTCTGAAGTACTTTTGAAGGACGAAACGCGTTACATAATTTTTTGTCCATTTTGGCATTACCCATAATCATCTTTGTAAACGTTGCAAAATTGATTTGATCTAAATGCCTGAACTAATTAACCACATGGGGTGGAAATAAAGAAACTGTCTACAACGAGACTTGAACTCATGTTTCATATAATTAACTTATAAATACACCAAAAGAAGCAAGCTAAACTCGTTCAAATTGATAAATATCTTCATCATATTGAACATTATTTTCTTGATATTCATAGAGTTTATCTCACTCCGATGTGCATGGGTAACGCAACGGTTATCTTTACGGAGAGTAGATGCGGCGAGCCGGGTTCAAATTTAGGTTCTGTGCGTTGCGTTCACTTTTGCACCAGCTCCATTGTGAAACGCATGAATCCATCGTTTCTCTGCTTACAGCATTTAGAAAGTCCACTCTACCTTGATATTTAACTGCTATGGTTAGATATCAGGGTATTTCTACAACTACTTTGGATTTCAAAACCTGGCGAAGTTAACCGGTATCTATCTTTATCGAGAAGTCATGAAGATTCATGAAAAGGAAGTCGTGGAGAGTCGCGATCGCCTAGGTTCTAAAGAGATATCGTATCCAAAAAAACAAAAGAAATGGAGATTGTGTTGCCTTATTCTTCGAAGTAGGTAGATTATACCATTAAAGCCAGTCAGTTATGTGCCATGCGTGATACCCGCTTTCAATACATGACTGAGGAGACAGATTTTTTTTCCCGCAGTAGGTTGCCATTTCTCTCTGCGGTAGAGCAGTTGCCATCGAAGGCTCTAGAACACGGTCTGTCCTGCTATTTACCTGTAGCTGTTGGTGGGGAGAAGAAGAGGATTCATACCTTTCCCAAGAGTATTAGTACGTAAGTGAATGTAATGGATTCAATTAGAATTCGAACTCGGCTCTCCGATTCCTCAATCTGAGCTGCTGGCCATTACTCCACCGTAAGCGTTTGAAATGATGACTTTTTTTGATAGGCTAGAGTATCAGTAAATAGCACTGCTGCAAAATTCTCAACTACTTTAACCACCAAACAGCTCCTCCTTATGAAGAAATAAACAGGTGTGCGAGCATGCCTGTGTGCGCGCATGTGTGTGTGTTTGTGTGTGTGTGCATCTTTAACGCACGTTTCCTGATGAATAGAAGTGGTCTACCCCATATGAATTAAAATTAAATCGATCACGAGATATGGCAATTTTTCTACGTGTCGGGAGAAAAGAAAGTTATTTCGTAGCAAAAATCGATGAATAAAAAAATAAAATAATAATTAAAAAAAAATAAAAATTAAAATTGTACGAAAACAAATATTCAAATTAAGATAAAAAACAAATATCTCACATTAAACGCTTTACCTTCGATATAATTAGATTTGCTTGTCTCCCCATTGCAACCATTGAACTGACAATCTCTTAATAAAGACCGGATTTTATAGACTTTTACTGATTTTATTTTAGGACTGTTTCCCTTCCCGAGTCATCTCCGCAAGGAGTAAACAGTCCAAATCTTACATAATCGCACTTAGTTAATATCTTGACCGACCAGACTGTCGAGTGTCGATACGGCTCCGTTTGGTCACAGAATTTTTCTCTTTTAGGCATTAAATTTTGGCGGTAAAGCTGGCTGGGTGTTGTGTCAGTTTCCACGTCGTCGCAGGTTTTGATTTCAGATTTGTTCTTCTTCAAAACGTGTTACCAATCAAGGCTAGAGACGACAGTTTGTTTTACTATTTAACTCTTACTCTACAAGTTAGCGGATTTAACTTCCACTATTTTGTTTTTGTTTTTGTTTTTTTAACAACTATATCCATTTAATAAGGATCCTGCAATTTTTCTTTACTTAAAACAGAATCCCTTTTTGAAGAAAATAAACATAAGAACGCTATGGAGTTAAGAAGAACGTTAATTAAAAATAAGTAAGTGATAACACAAGTAGTGTTCACAGGCTGGGGATAAAGGATAGTTTAATTAGTAAATAAAACAATTCGACTTAACTATTTTTAATGCTATGTCCTTTCAGCGATCATGGCTCTCCATATATTCATCATTGATTATCTGTGAAGGGCAATGACTTCTTGAACAATCGGCGGTGTGGTTTTCCGTTATTTTCGTCACGATTTAAATTAAGGGTTTTCATTCTCTTAGAAAAGTTGCTACCCAATGCTAGGGGTCAAGTCTACCCTGTTATTTAATCTATAGCGCATGGGGCGTGAGCGAGTGGACCGATTCATGTCTTTTCTTTGGGTATTTGTGCAAAAGTGAACGCGGAAGACTAAGCCAGGATTTGAACTCGTCTCGCTGAGTGCACTTAATGCTACTGGAACCTGCACTTGGCGGTGGAAAAAGTTTAATTTTCCTACACATCATTAATTATATAGACAAGACGTTTCTCAAAGGTTCGATTAATAGGAATAGATTTATCAGATTTTTTATCAATCATCATCATCATTTTGCAGCCTCAGCCGAGATTGAACTCACTACACCTTTCCAGTATTCCATCTGTCATAGCTAATACTTTGATTGGTGTAGTTCATAATCTTTCAAATAGCTGAATTCTTGATCTATGTGACACCATCACTAAATGGATTAGGCTCAGAGAGACTTCATTCACCCTCTGCAGGTTTCCTTCTCCTAGACCATTGTAAGAAGGCTAGATGGTCTTATCCTGCTATTTACCCATAGCTACAAAAGAAACATTTTTATTCAAATACTGAATTATCGATTCAAATCCATTATACCGTGCCTCCAATAAAGTATACCCTTGTTTACCCATATCTCTCTGATAATGGTCATTTTACGCTTTAATTTTATTAAAATTTTTGAAAAGACTACGGCTCGAACCATTTCCCAGATTCTAAAGAAACATTTTCATATTCATTGTAAGATGCCAGCCAGTACTGTTTTCGATTGAAATTTATAATATCCTTCTCTGAAAACATTTTTTTTCACGAAAACAGGTTTCTCAAGTCCAGTAGCTGTTATCGCTCTTTCCATTATTCATGGGGGTTTCCTTACTAACATTTTATTTCAAGGTGCAATATTCACTTCTTCATTATGTCATTATTTTCTTCCGACTTATATTTGCTATCCATTTTAGTTGTTACTGCTGTTGGTAGTCCTCAATTGATGTGGTTTCTGTTACTTGGCACAGTTCTTTTTTTGTGATTCCGTAGCGCCAGTCCACAATGTCCAAAAAATGGATGATCTTTGTCAAGACTCACAGGCTTTACTCGTTCAAAGTTTTTTTTGTCATTGCTCTTAGGAAGCCGTTATATACAACTGACAGTTTAAATATTTCTGACTGGATTTGGTACCATGCATGCCATCGATATGAATGTATCGATCTGACGAGGCTATTTAAGAACATGATTAGAATTTTCAGGTTGATGCTTTGGTCGCGTAGCAATGTTGGGAGTAACTAACCCTGGCGTAATCTTCTTTGTTCTTCTTTTTCTCCTATACTTAATTTGTTATAACTGATCCATACGCCTAGGTATCTGAAGTGAAAGATCAGATACTTGGTCATTGAAAGACCACTGGATGGAACATATAAAAATCTGCTTAGAAAAAATTCAGAACATCAGTTGGTGAACCCATGCAACGTTTAACACAATTTACGGAAAACTGAGACCAATCTCTCTTAAGCTAAAAAAGAAAAACAAAACAAAACAAAAAACAAACAAACAAAAAAACAAAACAAAAAAAACGATTAGTTTGCCGGCCACTGTCACCGAGCGAACAGGAAAATCGTCTCATACTATAGAATCCTTCTGGAAGCATCTTCTCACGAAAATTGACCTTCTCAGACAGCATCGCGTGGGAATCGGGGTTGGACATTGGGAATCTGGGGACAGCATTTATTGAACAGTGTGAAAAGGCATTGTCAATGGAATTCCGACCAACCATAGGAAGGTCGAAGGATGACGATGATGAGGATCTGAATTGTTTAGTATTTACTAATTCCACATCCTGAATTTAAAAAAACAAAACAAAAA